TCCTTAGAAATCTGATATGATGAGGGAATATTTGGGGAACTCAATTTTAATTTCCAATTAGCCGTATGTGTTCGATATAATTTCTGATAATTCGGAAGTATAGCCGATCAACCTGATATGATAAAGATATACCTATATGGAAAAATCGATGACAATTCTTTTATAAGTCGAAGGCCCTGAATATGATTTCTGATAATTCGGAAGAATTCATTATCACTTTGCTAGGGTGTATATGGATCATTCGATTTCAATTTCCGATCAGTCGTAGGTCTTCGATATAATTTCTGATAATTCGGAAGATGTCCTGATAAAACTCGATTTCAATTTCCCACCATTCGTAGGTATTCGATACAATTTTTGGTCACACGAAAGAATTCCTGATCAATTTGATATGGTAAGGGCATAAGGACAACTCGATTTCAATTTCTGATCAGGAAGTTTTTTTTTTATAATTTCTGATAATTCGAAAGAATTCCTGATCAACCTGATTTGATTGAGATATATATGGAAACTTGGTTGCAATTGTTCTATTAGTCGAAGATCTTCAATATAATTTCTGATAATCCGGAAGAATTTCTGAACACTTTGATATGGTACATAGGGTACACATTATGGTGAAATCGATTTCAATTTCCAATCAGTCATAGGGTTTCCATATAACTTCTGATAATTCGGTGAAATTTCGAAATAATTCCTGATCATCCTTGTATTTTGAAATACATTCGAACTGCCCGAAGTTCTTCAGAAGGATTTCTGATTAATTTGATATGTTGATGAAATATATGGAGAACTCAATTTCAATTTCCAATTAGTCATACGTGTTCGATATTAATTCTGATAATTTGGAAGAAATCCTGATCAATTTGATGTGATGAGGGAACATATGGAGAACTCGATTTCATTTTCCGATATAATTTCTTATTATTCGGAATAATTCCTGATAATTCCAATATGATATGATCAAGGAATTAATGGAGAATTTGATTTCAATTTGCAATCAATCGAAGGGTTTCCATATAACTTCTGATACTTTGGAAGAATTTTTGACCATCGTTGTATTTTGAAATATATTCTAACTGCCCGAATGTCTACAGAAGGATTTATGATCAATTTGATGTGTTGGTGGAATATATGGAGAACTCATTTTCAATTTCCGATTAGTCATACGTTTTATATATAATTTCTGATTATTCGGAAGAATTTATGATCAATTTGATGTGATGAGGGAATATGCAGGATTCGATTTCAATTCCCGATAAGTCGTAGGTCTTCGATAGATAAGATAAGATTTTGAAGAACTCCTGTTCAGTTTGATATGATGAAAGAATATATGGAGATCTCAATTTCAATTTCGGATCCGTCGTAGGTCTTCGATATAATTTTTGACATTCGGAAGAATTCCTGATCAATTTGATATGATGAACGAACTAGCGAAAAAGGACTCGTGGACCTACGAACAAGAAAATGTGGCAACGTGGTAAAACAAATGCGTAATTGCTGATTGCTTCTTTACTATGTCCGTGACGAATTTACAGCGAGAATGTTTGGCGCATGGTTTGGAAATTGAAAAACCATGCTACAAATTTTCGAAAATCATATGTTTATGGATACCATCATGTTGTGCATAGTCTGCAGAATGTTCTGGTATAAAAATATGGTATACTTTCTTGGGAAATTCCCGGGAAAACATAGGCGCAAGATTGCATTTCCTTGCGCGCACATATACACTCACGTGCATATTATCTTTGGGTGGAAATGCCACTTTCCCGGAAAAAGCACACCACTTGAAGTTGAATGCACTTTTCCACCCAAATTTTACCCCACTAGGAAAACAAAATCCTTGGCTACAATCGGACGGAATTTGTTTCCCGATATTCGCTTTCCTTCACAGGATTTTCGGGACGTTTCCTGGAAAACCACCCAAATCACAGACAAACGGCTCAAAATGTCCGAACGATGGCCTTAAGGTTCAATTTACTTTGATGCTTTTTGGAAAATTTCAAAAGCAGTTTTTTCCGACGCATTCGTTCAGATTTCAAAAAGCTCGCACTATTCGATTCCTTTTGATATTTTGCACAAAATGACGCGAGCTTTTTACAATCGAAAATAATGCGACGAAAAAAACTGCTTTTGAATTTTTAAAAAACACATCAAAGTAAATGGAACCTTAAGGTGATACGATTCAGCGTCCACAAATCATAGGCACTTTCACTGCCACTTCGAGTTTTCTAGGGAGGTAATCTCGGGCACTATTGCGATTTGAGGCACTAAATTATCATCACAGTTTTGTTATTGTATGTTTTCCAGTAGCAGATAATGGCCTCCTGGAAAAAGCGAAGTGGAACCAGAGCCCGAGGTTCTGGATCGTATCACCTTAAAACAATTTCTATGTAAAGATCCCTTCAGACCGATCACGTTTGTCATAGTGGTCTTTGGTTTTTTGTTCATGATTTCGTTATAAAAAATCTGGGACTTTGAACAGTTATCAGAAGTCTATGACTTGGAAAATTGGTAACTACACTGCAATGCTCATTTCTGTTTGTCAAACTTTGTAAACATAGGGAAAATGGCTCTAATGTTGGCCTATGGATCTAAGATTGGGCCCATCGCTAAAAATCTGCTATTTATCAATTTTATCTAGATGAACGCGTCATTGGGACGGTACTAATGAATATTTTTAATCGCTATTGAAAATTTAGTCGATTGCTGAATATATGTATGGGCCCAAATTAGAGACATTTAGGCCGACATTACATTCATTTCTCCTATCAAACAGAAATGAATTAATATTCTATTACTGAATTATAAGTTGAGGATGGGTGGCATTCACTAGCCCGTGAATACCTTCCAAATGCTAGCCTCTTCACTAACCATACATCAGTACACACACATCATAATTTTTATCGAGTTTTTAAATTGCGGAACTCTTTGGTAAAATTTAAAAAATCTGTGAAAAATTCAATGTTGAGAAAATGTGTTACGAAAATTTACAGACTAACTTCTGTTAACCCCGTGTAATGAAGAAAAATAAAGTTTTTCGATTTTATCCAATCTTTACGAATAACAGTCATTTGAATTTTAACCGAGTTAGTAATCCAAAAATCCAGTAAAAATAGACTCCTGTAAAAAATTCTAAGTGTGTATACAGAAGCAGCGGAAGTCCACGCTCCTCCATTGAAACAACACCGCAGGAGAGCTGCGAGTACTATGAAATAAAATGGACATCGACTTATTACCACTACCTACTTATCTCCCTTCCGCTCTCAGAATTCGCCGATTCGGTTTCTCTCGTTGTGTTTTCTGCTGAGACTGAGCAATATTCGATACCGCGAAACATCTCCGCAGTTATGTTTTCTATCGGTGCGGTAAACAAAAGTTAAGAATGTAGCTCAAAATTTACAATAACATTCTACCAAATTTTCATGTACGTAGTCCACTGCAACAGCCGAACGTACGAACGAATAGGGTGACCATAGCGCATTTTAAGAAAACGTCACAAGTTTTTATGGCTGTTTTAAATCAATAATTACGAAGACACCATAAAGCCTACTAGGTTACTACCAAAGGCACAAATCTAGGGAACTGCATGAAAAATGTTTTGTAGAACAACTAAATTAACAGTAATGAAAATTTTCAAAATAAAAACACTAAAATGGATGAAATTTCACCAGTTTTTATTGGTACTTTCAACATACTTTTCAATTTTAATGTATGATCGAGTTCTTTTTTAAAGAGCATTGATAGCTAAGACTTTAATCTTTCATTTGGTATGTTGAAATCAGAAAACCACATTAATATTAAAAAAATATAGCTAACCAAAGTTGGCAATACAAAAAAAAACATAAAATGTTGAATAACTCACTTAGCAGTCATTTTCGACCCTATGTTTCATGGGGATTTTTTCTCATGGGGATTTTTTCATTTGATTTTTTTTAGGAGCCCTATCTACATTGAACATATGTAAAACCCGGAACCAAACACCCTGTATATATACAGCCATTCCATCTTTTTGTTTTCTCGCGTAAACAAACAAGGTTGTTCAATGTTTTCCATGGAATCCTATTAACACACTTACGTAGAAGTCTTCAAGTAAAAAACCATATCCTTTACATTTGTCAGATCATATAATTAGAACAAAATGTGATAAAAAGTGTGTAAACATAGTTAATAGTCAGAACGAAATTAATTTCATGTCACTAAATTGCTTAAACTTACGGTATTAGGAGGTATCAGAATTTTTGAGTAATTATTGTCAATTATCCAAAATTGTAAACGTGGGACAAACAATTACACCGAAAATTATGCAAAATCACTTTGTTCTACGAAATTATTTTTTTGTTAGTTGATGTTACCGAAGACAGCATTAGGCTAAGTAGTCAAATAAAAAAGTTAGGACTGAAAGTTTGCGCCTATTTTATAACATGAACGGCCCTTAATTTCTTCAATTTTAGTAAATTTGAACTCAATTCGTCTCATTTACAAAAAAATGTGATGTATTGCTGAAAAAGGATATGTTTGCTAGGCCAAGTTTACATTGCATAACGCTATTGTCAGTGCCCCATGTTTGAAAATTTCGGAAGCGCATAAATTCACCCACCCATCCTTCGTCAATTATTAATAAGATTGATGACGGTAACCGTACTCAATGCTACTGGAGTGAATCGATACTTACCTGTTGTCTGCATAACCATACGTAGACGCCTTCCTCTCTTATCGCAATATCGGGCTCACAACCCACATGATGAACAACCGACAAGTAATCAAACAGTTTTGCCATTGGACCAAAACGCAGTAATAAAAAATTTATGTAATTTTCCTTCCTTCGCTGGCATTGTTTATGCGGGATTTGCAATGTTTTTTTCCATTCTAGTTAGGTACCTACTGTACTTTTTTCTCTCCTTCAAAACCTTCATCAGTGTTGAGAAAGATGTACAGACGCCTGCCTGTCAGGACTTTTTCATGGTCCGGACTGTGGTAATTGAAAAAATGATTGAGAGCATTTTTTTTCGTGCTAATTTATTATGTTAATGTCATTATTATGCTAATGCTTAAAATTTTTTAACTGCTTATTGTTATTGTTTGTTTGTTTGTTTAGATATTTCTTTCGCTTCATTGTTTAGCTTGCACTATATTTTTGTAGGCGTATTTATTTTTACATTCCTAGGCAGGTTTTCCTTTGTCACTTGCACTTGTTTCGCTCGTTTCGAATTTCTGACACACTGGAAATTCACGAGGATAGCACAGCCAAAATTTGTGAACTCAATGCTTCTACACTTCCTCTATTTGGGGCCACACGTTCTTACTTACAGGTGGAGTCTGCAAAGGTCCTTTGGTTTCCCTGCATTCGGTTAAAAAATGTGCTATTCCCACGTAGTAGCTGAAAAGAGAAAACGAAAGCAGACGGAAATGCTCTTAAATGGGTGAAATAATCAAGGCACATCATTCATATTTAAATGAGGCAGAAAAATGAGATACCATTGACACAAAGCAAAGAAGAAGGGTGCAGCGGCTGAAACGAGAAAGAGATGCCGTGCTTGTTGTAGCGGCACAGTAGCCAATATTTCCCTTACTTTCGGATGAACGAGTTGGGGTTTTGAAATTCGACCAACATCTCAGCCCGCTTACCTCAACCCCCATTTCTCCTAGATAATGGCAGTGTTCCGTTTTCCTTGGTTTTCGGCTAAATCTTGACTGGGGGAAATAATTATTTCCAACAATTAATCATCTCGCGAGGAGATCATATTAAGCGGCATCTGAGGCGCACGCCGTGGCTGTTGGCTTTATATGAAAAGTTAATTTTTCAATATAAATCATTTCATTATGAAATTAATAGCGCAATAATTTACCGTAAAGCGAGCAGCTCAAAGCATAATTACTCGAAAATCACCGGAGCTATTTTGAAACCGACTGACGGTACTAGCGGAGCACTAATTTATGATTTAGATTTGACGACGAGTTCGGATTACTTTTGAATCAATATTGCAGAGTAATGAGCGTAAAGTGCAGTAACAAATCTTATAATTACATAATATTCGTGTACATGTCTTATGATTTGAGGTAGGTAATCAAAGTTTAGTGTTTTTTTTAGCATTTTAGGAAAACAAATTTTCACAGTTTTAACATCAAATTATGCTTAACGTGTGACCATGCCAAGAGGTTCATTTTCTTGAGATATTTATGTAGTGCTTGATAGACATTTGAAAATACACTGGTAATAATTTTATTGAAAACTAATCGTTTCATTAACATCTACACACGCAAAACAAATGGTATGATTTCTTACACCCTCTGTAGGCATTCTTACAACAATTGTAATGTCAGAACGAATATTTTCATATAAAACCTACATACATGAGATGCCGCAGGGCATTTGTGGAAATACACTTTGTTTGAGAATTTAGCTAACAGAAAATTACAAAATTATTTAAAAAGCCTTCCGAAAAATACACAAATTACTTTAATTATTGAACATATAACGACAGTACGGATTTATATTTCGTAATAAGGGAAAAGCACCAGTATTGGCCATGTTCCTATTTTGGCCACTTTTTGACGATATTTTACGTTGTTTACAATTTTGAGATGTTTAATTGCGTTCAGTTTGTTGGTACAAATCATATTCATCGGTGTACATATCCAACAAACAATCGTCTATTGAAGAAACGACTTCTTGACGATTTTATTCAACTGCATGCTAATAATACTTGTATTATTTTTATTAATAACTTCTGTTCAGGCTTTGTTCACACAAATCTGGAGAATTAAGTCAACCACAACACATTGAACATGTGTTGTATAAGGTATGTCTGTTGTATAAGGTATTTCGAGAAGCTGTTATTCGACTTATATGAGTTGTAACAGAGCTCGATAACATTTTTGATTATTCAGCGTTTATTAGACATCATGGATTCTTTAAACAGCGATGATACAAAGGTGTATTATATATGCTTGATTCTCATGTAAAGTAACGTTTAATTAGACACTAGAATGCATTTATTTAACGATTATTCAACTACGGTACAATTAATTTGAAAATAAGAACGGGAGAAGAGCAGGGTTGATGTTAACATTATTAGACCGAAGTAGTTCTCTACCCTATATATGCTTATTTGTGACTCCGAATTGTTTGTTGGGTAAACATTTCAACCACAAAATGCACGAATATTGTAATTAAATCGGTTTTCTGAGGTGTGGCAAAAATAGGAACCTATGGCCAATACTGGTACACTTCCCCTAATACAAAAATTAAAAAGGTTTCAAAACATGGCTATTATTTTACAGTTCTTAAGCTTTGAAATTTATTAAAAATCCTTGGCTTAAGAGAATCAAACTTGGAAAAATTTCCAGAAATCTTAATATTCAAGATGTCGGACATTGAACATTTTCGATGGCCCCAGATTTGAGAATGAATATCGAAACTACATGAATGAATTTGTTGTGAAAGTTCAAGTGTTATCTAAGAATTCCTGTCAAGGTAATTTTGGAAACTTATAATTTCAGGTGAAACATAGGGGAATTACAAGGTACCTAGATCTAAGGGAATCCAGAATATCATTCATCAGAGAAATATGATAATAATTTAACGGTAATTCTGAGGAGAATGTTAAAAATCTTCCTAAAAGTTGTCCTTGCTCGCTATCTATTCTCTGTATACAATATTCACACTGCCGTACTCTAACGGAACTATCAACTCTACACTTTCATCTCTTCATTAATCGTAAAAATTACCTAATATCTGTTATTTGATATTAGCATCTTCAACTAACGGGTGTTCAATAAAAAATGAGAACGATTTTTTTTAAAGAATAAACATTATGTTTTTAATAATCGTTGAAAAAAAAATGTTTTTTTTTACTAGCTAAATGACTGAAAAAAATCTCATTTTTATTGAACACCCGATAAACAACTTCTTATTTTGTTTTTCAAGAAAAAAATGGAAGTACAAGAACCTACAAATTTTCTTAAAAAAACTTAGCTGTTGTTTTGGTGTTGCATACACGATAAGAAAAAAGTACCCAGCGTTCAGTTCACATTTATCCACTTTTTACTTTGAGTATGATCATATTCACTTACTTCTGTGATACAACTAACTTACTTTTATGTAAATAGAAAACGAATTGACAATTCCATACGAATTGAACACAAGTAAATAAAAACTACTTTGACCCACTTTACCTACTGTTGGCTTCCTGCACTTAAGTGCCGAGATGTGTGAAAATAACTTATTTTTGGATACTTTTTTCTTACCGTGTCCCTGGAGGTTTCAGTTCTGGAATCAATTTTGGATAGGTCGTATGTAACCTAAATGTACAAAGTGTCATTTTGAATCAATCGAGGAATCAATCAACTACTATGATTGCTTGACTTGATTGGACTTGGTGGCTAGGCGAGTGATTATGATTATGTTAATATTGGTAAATTAAATAGAAATGTAGCGATGGTTTCAATATTGGATGGTAAATAGAGTTTTAAACATAATTAAGGTTGAGATATACAGTAAGAATGATATCACTCTTTCTTTAACTTTCTAATTTGTTATTTAACTGTTATATATTCGACCTAATAATAACGAACTCTAGCAGCTATGTTTACAGTAGATATGGTAGTGCATGATGTACACTCACACCACTACAGCATCAATGATAGTCAATCCATTGACACATAGAAAGAAGAGAAGAAAAAAGCAAAAACAGTAACAGTATGACGTATCGTATCACCTTATGTTATTATGGTGTTATTAATCCACTAGTCAACTTTTTGATAAAAATAAAGACAATAGGGGAAATGGATGTAATGTCGGCCTAAATGTCCCTAATTTGGGCCCATACATAAATTTAGCAATCGACTAAATTTTCAATAGTGACCAAAATTATCCATGAGTACCGTCCCAATGACGCGTTAATCTAGTTAAAATTCATAAATAGCAGATTTTTAGCGATGAGCCCAATCTTAGATCCATGGCCAACATTAGAGCCATTTTCCCTATATATGTTTTTTCTTGCTTAATTGTCGTTTCATATCATATTGCATTGATAAATTCAAGTCCAAAGTAGATAAGAGCCAACTCCACTGCAAAGGGCCAACGTGTAAGACTTCCATCCTGGGCGACTGCTTGTTGTTGCTTTAAACTGGGTCCAGGTCAAATTCCTGTCGACTTTTTTGATTCCTAGACTCAAGAACCAGTCAATCAATTGGGATTCTTCTTGTTTTTGAAATATTCTTCAATCATCATTATTAGTATACACTTACATTCACACACAAGCCATCCGAAAATGTAAAGCAAGTATTTCATGATTTTACATCGTACAAATCTCTTGATGATTAAAATAAAACACCAAGAAAATCACTTCGACTCCATTTCTTTGCTAGTGAACGTAAAAGAATCATTGCCAGATGTATTACCTCTAGCAGTCAAGTTTACTAAAACATGCAAATACGAAGTATGAACCAATAACTTATGATGAGTAGATGTTTTTAATGGTGAATAAATATCAAAAACTGAATAAATAAAACTAAAATGACCTTTAGAAATAAACGTTCCAATTACAAAGGTAAAAAAGATTGAATTAAACACAAACAGGGGAGATGACAACATTACATGTAGTCTGTTCAAGGAGTTTCTACCAAGCTTGTAAAGTGATCGGTAATCGAAAATTACAACAAAAAATTTATATAACTAGTGAATTTTGAATTACTCAGAAATTTCAATGTAATAAAAATAATTGTGGGTAATTTATAAGTAATTTCAGTAATTCATATTGCTTGGAAATTAATTTTGGAAATTTTATAGATAATTAAACAGTAATACCAGTAATTCCATAAATATTTGTACTCTGGAATTAGCAGTGTCATCATTATTCTATGTAAATTTTCCGATTTTAGTTGTTTCAGGCATGAATAAAAATACTCAGAGGGAGAGATGGGCGGAGAAACCAAAATACTATTCGGCAGCAGGGATGTGTACTTAAATTATCTTGCAACCCTTGCTAGAAGCTAGCATTTCACATGAATTTTATTTTTGATTCAAACATAATTTTAAAAAAATACCTATGAAGTAATTTTATTTTTTTTTTATAATTTTGATTTTTTTTTTATAAAAAAAAAATTTTTTGCGCTGTATATTTTTTCTTGGAAGGCTCAATACTTGTACGCAACTTTGCCCAAGACACCATCTCGATCAAACAAATCGTTCACGAGATATATATTTTTCTATTGATGCGTATCATTTTTGCATAAGCCCTTCTCAAATGTTAGTCGTGTGCAAATCTAGGGAACCATATTTGTAAAATGGCATGTTGGGCAATAACAAACAACTGTGCAAAGTTTCATCAAAATCGTAGAAGGTCGATCCGAAACGATTTGCGAATCTGTGTGGAA